AGTAGCAGAGTACTGACTTGGCATGTGCAAGATACTAGGTTCAATCCCCAGTATCAGGGCAAAAAAAAAAAAAAAAAATTCCAAAAACTAGCTTTAGGAAATATTTACCAAAGGGATAGATAGTAGCAACTAAGAAATGTCATGGATAATCAAATTTGGTAAATACAAAAACAGAAATACTTTTAATTTTCCATATAATGCTACACATAATTAGGAAATATCACTGCCTGGCAGTCCATCTTTAGAACAGAACCATTACAATCTTGTAATAAAAAATAAACTGAGCAGTTTATTATTAATGACATACTTCTTGTCTTCTCAATCCTATCTGATGGCACCTTCAAAGGCTTTCCGTTTCTGTGCACTAATTTCTCCCTTTTTTAATTATTTTGATTAACACATTAACACATCTTAGTATTCTTTATTTTAAAAATAAACCAAATCAAAAAAGCCTCTCTTGACCTACCAACCCCCCTTCAGCTACTGCCCTATTTTTTTTACTTCCTTTGCCTGGAAAACGGCTTGTCAGAGTTGTGTACAGTTGCTGTTTGAACGTCTTACTTCAAGTCTCTTTTTCACCTATGTTTCCATTTACAAGGTTTCAAGAATCCAGTTTTACAAGACTTCCTAACAAATCAGAAATCCTCTCTTCCCTGACCCCGCTGCTCACTTGCAGTCATTTTTAATTTGTTTCTTTTAGTATCTAACCCCTTAATCTCTAGTATCTTTTGTTACTTCTTGATTCATTTAGTCATACATTCAGTTTCAGGTAGGCTGCCCAGACAGTCCTAGCTCATTCAAGTTTTTTAATGTAATCCAAAAAGTGTCTTCTTTGCCTCTCACAAGTACAGTATCTTGTTTTTTAACTATCATTTATTGAATTCCATTAAGAAAATAAAAGTTTGTTTTTATCACCTCATTCTTATCTCTTCTACATGTACACTTTCCCAATTTTCCAATACTGTGTTTCAGGTCGTTATACTGAATTAACATTATGACTGTAAATAAAATTCATAGCTGAACCATGAAGTATACAATCACACAACAATTACTTTTCCTTTCTGAGCAGTATTTCCTAGAGTTAATGTTTTCTTTTACTATTTATTCAGTTTTGTGCATACTTATTACCAATTTAGCTACAAACTTTTCCCTATCTAAATCTCTCTATATCTTTAAATGTATCAGCAAGAGTGCCAATTCACCTTCTCACAGCTATTTCTCTTAGAATCTTCTAACCTGTTCCTATTGGGTCTAGGTGTTATTTACTACACCTGGTGACCAGCTGTCTGTCATCTTGAGATCATTATCATCCAGATGAGTCCCTAGGTCTCTAGTTAAGATACATTCCCTGTTTCTTGTCTCCCATGCTTTCATCTTTTTTAGTTTACTTCTTTATGTTTGTTGAGTAACTTCTCCAATACCTGCGTTAAGAAAGGGGACATGGCAGATAAAGACACTGTATCAAAATATAAAAGAAAAAGGACTGGGGCCATAGCTCAGTGGTAAAGTGCGTGCCTAGCATGTGCAAGGCCCTGGTTCACTCCCCAGCACCACTCACCCACACCCATACTGAATCAACCTCTACCCTTAGTCAAGAGTAGCTGACTACTACATACTGCGTTGGAAATCATTTTTCCCTTCAGAATTCCACTGTACTGTCTTCACATTTCCAATATGGTGTCAAAAAGTGCAAAGCCCTTCGGATGACTCAGTCTTTACATGTAACTTACTCTCACCCTAGAAGCCATACTCTGTTCTAAAACAGTGATGTGTCCTGTTTTGGATTTGTTTTTATATCTATATTGGTCACTCATAACTGGAACTCATGTCCTCTTATTCTGGAGAGTTTTCTTAAATCATTCTCTATATTTGGTCTCCATTTCCCTTAATTTGATCTTTTAGTTTGATCTGTGTCTCTCACAGAAGACATTTTCCCCAAATATCTAGTGATCTCTGGCCACAGGTGTGTATTTAAGGAGGGGAGCACTAAAAAGACTACTCGAAGCTCTGTGACTGTGGTGGATTAACTAAAGGCCAACATGTAGCCCCCAACTGAGCGGAGGAGCGTGGTGCTGCTGGCTTTGGAACACCCAGCTGAAGACCGTTGCCAACAACATCAAAAGGAGACCTGGAGGGGAAGACGGTGCGGTTGGTTCTCCCGGAGAAGCTTGTCACAGTGGCTCTCGTGATATAAACGCAGCTGTTCTCGTAAGAGCTTGGGTGCTTGCTGTTGCCGAGGATGGCTGTGGTTCTCTTTGGGGGAGCTCTGGCCCTTACCTTGCGCATCTCTTCCTGGCTCCGATGCAGATCCCTCAGCCTGCTGGCACAGGTCTGTCACCCGGCTGGAGCAGACTTTCTAGCTTCCCCCACTGACTTCTGGGCCTTTCCAGTGCAGATCCTTGATACAGACTTGGATGAGACACCGCCATGGGCTCTAGGCCTCCGGCTGGACTCATGGAGGACACTGTCATGGGGTCTAGGTCTTTAGCTAGACTCATGCAAGACACTGGCATGGGATCCAGGCCCTCAGGTGGATTCTTTGGGTCTCCAGTGCATGGACAGATTTCCTGCACTCTTTTGCATTTGACTCTTTGAGTGAATATTATAAAATAATCCTATAAATTATATGTACCATATTAAATCTTTTCCCTTGTAAATCCTAACTGCAACAGTGACAGAGCAAGTTGACTGAGAACTTTACTGCCATGGTACAGGTTGGAATACTTCTTTCAGGGATTTTTCAACATAATTATTTTCAAGTCTTTTCTCTTAGGCTAGTTATAATCTACAGAAAATCTTTTCACCTCTCACCTAGTAAGTATAAAAAACCAAGTAGCCTGGATTCTTAATCCTCTTATTTCAATAGGTTACCCCCATCCTCAGCTGCGTTTGTGGTTATCTTAACCTTCCTAAAGAGTAAGTCTCCAGACTTCTGTGCTAGGGTACAAAAGGGGGCAATTGATTCAGCTTCAAAGTTAGCAAAGAGTGAATCACCTCTTAAACAGATGTGTAAGGAATCATCCTGTTTTAGTACCACCATCATGCTTATTTCAGAAGCAGAGTACTTCTCCTTCATGAGAATTTTAGATGTTCTATAGTGCCAAGAAGTTTCTGAGTTTTCCCGACACTGGCTCAAGCTTCTAGGACAGAAAGTTACTGCATTTCCTTTTGTTCTTCAGTTTTCAAATTTTTACTGTTACTGTTTCCGCTCCTGTTCTCCTTGTCTTTGTGGGGTCCCATCATCTGCAAACTCCTTTTATTTACAGCTAAATGCTCTAATGGTGTTTCAAAACACACGTGAAACTTAAGTGTATCATTTGCCATATCTAACTAGACGTGCTTCATTCCTCATCAGTCTTAATTAGACTTTCACTCCTACCACTTCTCTGAAAATTTTCACTCTTAGTAACAGGAAACTTTCATGTTGTCACGTCTAATGGCTACTTCATGGCATCCTCTTTTTGAGCTCTTGATAGTTGTGATGTAGACGACTGCTTCTATTTGTTACACAACCTCTTCTTGGTCTCTGTGACAGAACATTTTCCTGCTTTTCCACACGTCATACTGGCTGCTGCTCTTTCTATGATTAATAGTGTCATGCGAACGGGCCATGCTCAATTTCTGTGTATATACTTCTGAGACAATTTAATCCAGAAATTTGACTCTGAGTACTTCTATATGTCAGTGGTGCTCAAATCCGTGACCTTAGGCCAGATACTCAACTGCAGTCATATATCCGCACTATCATTTTGACATTTGTACAGATTTTAAAGGTGTCCTAAGTATCACAGCTATTTCAGAATATCTGACTCCCTTCAGTAAATGTGCTTCTATCTCGATTTTCTCTTCCAGCCTGACCTCCATGTACTCTCTGCTCCGTATACTTTCTGTGGTGGATTAGCTAATGGTCAACTGAAGTGGGAACGCCCAGTGCAGCTGGGTCACTGTGGCCCTGAAGACACCCCTGAGGACTGCTGCAGAACAGCACCAAGACAGAACAGGAGGGGAAGACCGCATGCTGCTGACTTTCCTGGAGAAACTTGCCACAACTGGTTTTCCTGATACAAAGTCACTGTGCTCATTGCCCTCACTGTCAGCGTGATGACTACTGTTCTCTTGGGGGTGGGAGGTCCTGGTCTTTGGCTTGAACATTGCTTCCTGGCTCCAGTACAAATCCTTCAGCCTGCTGGCACAGATCTTTCACCTGGCTGGCACAGACTTTCTAACTTCCACCACTGGCCTCAGGCCTTCCCAAGGCAGATCTTAACACGAACTGGGCTCTAGGCCTCCAGGTGGAATCATGGAGAAAACTGCTGTGGGCAACTAGGCCTTTGGCTGGACTAGCGTGGACACCGCTGTGGCACCCAGGCCCTCGGCTGGATGCGTCGGGTCTCTAGCGCGCCAACAGATCTCTTGCACTCTTCACCTGACTCTAGTAAGCACTAACATGCTTTCTCCATTAATACATTCCAGCCACATTTGCTCTCTCTGCTCAAGTGTACCATGATCACTCCTGTCCCACTGCTGGGAAACACAGTAAACTGTGAATAACAGACTTATCCTTTTATCAGATCTGCACATGTCTAGCACTTTCTTGCCATTCCACTCTCAAATACAATGACTCTTTTTGAATGAGCCTTCTCCGATTACCTAATGAAAATAGTCACCAGTCTCTATCACTTTATCCCTTTTAATTAACTGTACAGTACGAACCACAAATCCCTCACTTGTTTACTATTTGTCTTCTAGAACACAATCCTAATGTGAGCCTGGATGGCTTCTGTCTTGTTCACCATTGTATACCGATTATCTGAAGTAGTACCTGGACATAACTGTTGCACAATAAATGTTTTGGGATAAATTAACACAAAATAGAAAATTTTTAAATAAAACATGCCTCAAATTAGTGCGTCAAAACAGTTCACAGGTTCTTTTATACAATTTTGACATTTTGGAAAACTGTCATTCTATGGTGCCTTCTAAGATGCACCTATCTTTACCTTTTGTATTTTTGGATCTTTTGAACTGATTTTTCACAATACTATGGGTTCAAGGGCTTCTTCTATACGACCGACCATCAATCTCAGAAGTCTGTTTAAACAAGAAAAATAATGTTAGATTTATCCAATTTATATACAAATTATAAGTTGTAGAAATGATATCTGAGAGAAAATGAAATAACTTTAAAATCATGAATAAATTAAATCACTTAATTCTAGTATAGAATTTAAAAGACAAAAGTATAAAAAATAACCACACAAAATATGTTAATAAATACATGATATAAATGGATGCAATTTGTGACATCAATAAGATAAAATAGGAGGAAGAGTAAAAGCAGAGTTTTCATATGTAATTGAAGGTGCCAGCTTAAGACAGGTTGTTATAAGGAATTTCCATATAAGTCCCACATTAACAACCAAGAACATATTTGCAGAAGATATATAAAAGAAAAGAATGAAAGGATAACACCAAAAAAATCAATGAAATGTAAGGAAGACAGAAAAAGGAAGAGAAGAAAAGAGGAACAAGAGAGCTATAGGACAGAAAACAAGCCATTCCCTTTCAGCAACTAACTTAAACGTAAGTGGATTAAACTTCCCAGTCAAAAGATTCTGAGGCTCACTGGATTCTTAAAATTCCAGCTATATGCTACCTATCAGAGACTCACTTTAGGCTGAAAGTAAATAGAAAAAGACACTCCATGCAAATGGTTAAACAAAGAAAAGCATGAATGGATATACTTATATTGGGTAAGTCAAAATTTGTCACAAGAGACAAAGTAGATTATAAAATTCATTTGAAAGTTACAATTGTATGTGCATTAACATCAAAGCACCCACACATAAGAAGCAAATCTCAACAGAACTGAAAAAAGAAACAACTACACAATAGACAGTATCAATACCCTATCTTTCAACAATGTACACATGGCAGAAAATCAATAATAAAGTCCAGATGTGAACAATGTTACAGACCAAATAAGCCAGATATATACAGAACATCCTACCCAATGGCAGCACGATGCACATTCTTTTTAAGTGCACAGAGAACATAATCTAGGACAGATTACTGTTAGTTCACAAAAAAAGTTTTAATAAGTTTAAGACAACTCAAATCATACCAAGTATATATGTGCCTGCAATGGAATGAAAATAGCAATGAAGATAGAAGGAAAACTGAAAAATTCACAAACACATGAAAATTAAACAACACATCTTAAATAACCAAAGAGTCAAGGGAAAAATCAAAAGGGAAAGTTGCAAGTATTTTGAGACAAATAAAAATACAATATACCAAAATTTATGACATATAGCAAAACCAGTACTGAGAGAATTTCACAGCAGTAAATGCCTACATTAAAAATTAAGATCTCAAATAACCTAATTTTGTACCTAAAGGAGCTAGAAAAATAACCAGAAATAAGAACTAGAAAAATAAGAACAAATTAAGCTAACAGCAGAAGGAGGGAAAAAATAAAGAACAGAGAAAAACAGAGAAAAAATTAGCAAAACTAAGACTTTTTAAAAAGATTAACAAAATTAGTAGAAACAAAGGAGGTCCATATCAGAAATGAAAAAGAGACTTTATAACTGAAGCCACAGAAATGAAAAAGACTACCATAAAAATTACACATTAATGAGTTAGATAACCTAGAAGAAATGGACACATTTCTAGAAATAAATAACCCACTAAGACTGAATAATGAAGAAACAGAAAGTCTGAACAGACGTACAACTTGTAAGTATATAGAATTAGCACTCAAAAACTTCTCAACACAGAGAAGCCAAGGACCAAACGGCTTCAATGACTACTGAACACTAAGTGATTGACATCAACCCTCTGACTTTTCCAAAGAGCTGAACATGAAAGAAACTTACACAATCATTCTACAAAGCCAGCACTACCCTGATAGCAAAACCAGACAGACCCTAAAGAGCAATGGTGGTGAACCTATGGCTTGTGTGCTGCAGCAGACTGTATCACCGCAAGTTCTGAAAGTTCGCCATCGCTGCTACAGAGAAAACTACAACCTAAAATCTCTACTGAATATTGATGAAAAATCTCAACTAAACCAGCAAAGCAAAAATTCAACAGCGCATTAAAATGACCAAATGCCACAATCAAGTGGGATTTGTCCCACTCTTGCATTCTGGGATGCAAGAATGATGGTTCAATATACAAAAGTCAATCAACAGATAAACCACATTAACAGAAAAGGCAGTCATACAATGACCTCAACTGAAGCAGGAAAAGCATTTCACAAAATTCAACACCATTTCATGATTTAAAAATGTTCACTGAACCAAAAATAGAAGGAATGGCCCTCTCTTGAAAAAAAAAAAAAAAACTTGATAAGCTATATCAAGATATAGCAAGAGCCTGAAAATATTTATGCCCTTTGACCTAGTAACTTCCTTTCGAGAAATAACCAGAAACACATTCTAAATCTTATTCACTGAAATAATTCTTAAAGTAGTAACACTAGAAAGAATACAGACGTTCACTTGCAGTAACAAAGGCATCAAGATACACACCTGGTTGGGTGTGGTAGTGCGCACCTGTGAACCCAACACTCTGGGAGGCTGAGGCGTGAGGATGGCAAGTTCAGGCCCAGCCTGGGCAACCTAGCCAGACCTTGTTTCAAAAATTAAAAAAAAAAAAGTGTGTGTGTGGGGTGGGGCCTAGGGATGTAGCTTAGTTCCAAGCCTTGAGTTCAATACACAACCATAAATAATTAAACCTAAAAATGCCCACAGTATCAAGAGTAGTTATTCTTGAGTTATTCGGTGTATGTTTTTACTTTTTCTTCAGTAGTTTCTAAAATTTCTCTGATAAACATGCATTACTTTATAATCAGAAATTTACGTACTGTCTTTTTGCTTTCAATTGTCTAGTACTAAGAGGTTCTTAGATGCCCCTGAGTTTGAAGCAGTCTGAGTGGTTCTTCTGGCTATGTGTAAGAAAGCTAAAAAGATAAAATACATGTTATCTATCCCACAAAACAAAAACAATGTAACAGAGACTTTTCCTATGTACTGCTCGCATAATTTAAAAGGAAAACTCTTTTAATTTCTCCTAATTCTTTACACTAATTAAAATGGTTAACTCAAGAACTTTATCTTAAAAAGACTGAAACTACAATTTTTTTCTTTAACCTAAAAACCTACTGACCCATTAACCTACTTTGAAGTTCAGGTTTTTAAAATTTGATATCAGATATTTCGAGAACTAATAGATCTGCCAACATTAATTAAAAGTAGTACTGAAATTTAACTGACTAGTATATAAAATACAAGCAATAATCCTTAACTACATTTACCACCATTTCTGAAAAATTCTAACTTGCTTCTGCAGATTACTACTTTTGTACTGTAACAGAAAAGATCACTATTTGTAAGAGGACAATTTTTACTTGCAAAGAAAGTCTCAAGTACTTCTAAAATTACTTATTTAATGTATGAGAAAAAATGAACTTAGACAACCGTTCTCAATTTATGTGACGTGGGCCTGGGCTATAGCTCAGTGACACAGTGCCTTCTGGCAAGTACAGGTCCTGAGTTCAATTCTCGGTACTAAAATAAAACCAAATAAACTTTCAATTTATTTGACGCAGAATAGGACCATACCTCTATATGTGAAGTAAAATATTGGCAAGATTAAAAACATTCTTGATTCAACAGTAGTTTCTAAGACCAACTTAAATTCAAAATTGACCTATGAAAACAAGAATCACTTCCCAAACCAGTTTTAAGAACCAGAGAAGATTCTGGCCAAGACAAACATATGACACTAAAACTAACCTGTCAAATATCAAGACATTAGCTATTTCAGAACACTCAGCAAACAAACCAAAACTAAAAAATACAATTTTCTTAGTGCACCATAAGCCCATACAACTATGCATCTCTGCAAATAATGTTTGAGTTCCCTACTCATATGAACCGTTCTGGCTCTGAGTACATGCACCTTTATCTGCTTTTCAGAGATGACACCAAGGCCCGAATCAGTCTCTGATTCACCCCACATAAAACCTGAAGGTTTCAGGAAGAACTCAGCTCTCAGAGTGGGCTACACACTGGACAGGTAGTGTGACCCTGAACCTATACCTCCCTGGCCTCTACATATTAACATCAGGTGGGGAACCACTCAGACTGCTTCAAACTCAGGGGCATCTAAGCGCCTCTGAGGACGTGACCTTGCTATCGGGTGCAGCACACTGTGGCGTATTTCACAGTGAACAAACACACATGCACTGGTCACAGCACTAACAGGAATTATACAGTGGACTCAGGCTGCTCTTGTGCTCTGCTCGGCTCCATGCTGCTGCTGTTGTTGCTGATGTCTTGCACATGTATATTCTGTAACCTGGGGATGTCACCCACAAAAATTTCTCCTGGGCCTTCCAAGCAGGCTGACGCACCACTGAAAAGCAAGAGGAAACCTTGTGGTGCAAAACAATGGCCTTTAAAATAGGCTCATGCCCCAAATCCAGGGAACCCGTGTCTACGTTAGTCAGTGTAACTGAACAAGGGACTCTCAGATGTGATCAGGGTCAAGGGCCCTGAGATGGAGAGACCGCCCTGGATACCAGGGGGTCCCACGAATTCCATGAGTCTCGACCGAGTGCCGCCCTGTAACAGCTTCCTCTTAGCACAGCAAAATACCTGCTGGACACCAGAGCCTTGACACTTGTTTTTTCATGTTTGTCTAAACTCTATTTTTTTGGCCATTGAGTCCTTTGCACATTTATCAGGGCAGATAAGCTATTCCAAGAGCTATTCTATGGCAAAATGTAATGATTATTTATGACAAAACTGGTTAATGTTCAAAAGAATATGAGACCACGTTTTCCCTTTTACTTTATTTAATTGCTATATGAGGTACAAAAGTGACTAAATTTGTGTTGCTCAGATATCCAAATAAAGTAATTAAACCATAAACTTTGCAGAATAGCCTATTATTTTAAAAAGCCAAATGTGTACAGAGTTCTGAGATGGCTCTCCAGAATAAAAGAAAAGAATTTATCAATCCAGAAAAGAAGGAAAGAATTTCATTAATGTCCTAAACACTGTACGGACCTGTTAGGAATTTGATTGAGTAGAATTACAAAAATACTAGGCTTGCAGCTTCCTTGTAAGACATTCAACAGCATGCAAATAATATACACAAATATGACACACATACTCGACCAACACGGCCAATCACTGAAAATACCACCAAAAATATATTTGCTTTCAAGATCGTGAGTATTCACAAAATAATGATTTTCATTAAAAGACAGCTGCTTTGACCTTTGAAAACCTGGGCAAATTGCCAAGTTGCTTTTGTGCAGCCAAGTGAGCCAAGCAACTCACGACCATCTGAAAACTAGTCAAGCAAGCGCCCTGAGCCTCACATTAGTCAGAACACAGCCTCCACCAGGTACTTCCTCACCAAAACCACCATGACATCAGAGTTTGTAAGACAAAATTCATTTATTTTAAGCTGTAAGCTTTTGCAAGGTGACTTATACATGTTGCCCATTACCATTCAGCTTGCTGTCCCTACTTATTTTCAAAGCTTTCAAGTAAAATAAAATATGTGAATACATGTAGTCCATTAAGTTATTATTTTACTCCACTGACTAATTCCTTGGTCATTACCATGCAATGACAAGGTGTGGGATAATGGCAAACAAGTCACCGAATCTATGAAGCACAGAGGCAGGTGCTCAAACTGAACAGAGAGATCTTTGCAGCATGTGAGTAGACTTAATTACAAGGACTATGATTATGTGTTGACGGCATATTAATCTCCCAGCCAGAAACCCTGTGACCAGGCTTCATAGAGTGCAATGTGGACTTAGCAAGTACTACAGAGGAGATATGCATTCTTTCTTGACACCGATGACACAAGAGTTGATGAGACTTCTGGTTTATGTTCAAGTTCACTGGTTCTCTCCTCTGTCATCTCCATTCTGCTGCTGAATGGAGATTCTGCTGCTTACTTTCCATGCAGTAAGTCTGTATAACCATATATTGTATTTTTCAGTTCTAAATTTCTATTTGATTCCTTTTTATTTCTCGTTTCTATTTTTCATAAGAAAATTTGGAGTATTAGGAACAAATCATGGTCTGTCTGTTCATTTCAAGTTTATTTTCATCTCATAAGCATGAGCTACTGGAAGATTTTTTTGTGCTAATTCTATCATTTAGCTCTTCTCAGGCTTGGTATCTATCTATTGCCTTTTCCCTTTAAAAATGGTCAGATTTTCCCATTTCTCCCATGTCAAGGAAGCTTACATTATATCCTAGACATTCTAGTAAGGGTATGAGACTGTGGTTCTATCAGCATCTAGAAAATCTGACTTTGAAGCTCCAGTGGCGCAATCGGTTAGCGCGCAGTACTTATAGAAAATCTGACTTTTGTATTAAATTTAGACCACAAGTTTCTCCTTGTTCCAAAGCGCGCTCAGGTTTCAAAGCCTTAATGTTGCTGTTCAGGTCCATCGTCTGCATGCATCGCTCAGGGATCCATCTGGGATTTGAGCTGTGGTTTACACTGTAGTTCAGTTCACTAAGTCTTGGCTATGTTTCCCTGGTCCTGTTCTGAGCATAAGGAGCTTGGATAAAGTGGAATCTTTTAGGGTTCAGATATACAATTAGGGCTCTCTTCCTTCTAGGGTCATGAAATCATGCTCCAGCTTCCTGGGGTTCTTTCCAAATTCCCTTGGCCAGAAAGACCATTTTCCCCCTCAGGGTTAAGTGCTTGTGTCACCATAAGAATGAGATTTTATAAGCAGAGGTGGTCTCAGGGCAGGTGGAACAGAAAAAGGAGGTGGTCACTTTTCTTTGTCCCCTGGCTAGAAATAAGAGGTTTCTCTTAAGAGTTCCTGCCAACTGCTCTACCCACTATGTAGTGCTAATCCAGCCCACCATTCTGTTAAAGCTGGGTCACAGAAAGAAAAATTTAAAGCTTACCACGACACAGTTATTCTTCAAGTCTGGACTTCCCTTCTCAATCTGTCTTGCTACTGTTTACTTTTTGGTCTTCAGATTGTTGATGGCTGTACTCTACCCAGAGTTTTTAGTCCTACACAGTCAAAGAGATAGGCTTATACATTTTGTCTTATCCATTACATTTTACCCATTTCCAACAAATTTTCACCTAATGGCTTGACACATCATTGATCATTATTTTAATGGAAGTTGCACTGTGAGTTTCTAAGCCTGTTATTCTTTGGAATTTATTAATAGCTGTCTTCTTCTAAAGACAAACTTTCTCTCCCTTTTGGTAATTATTGGAATATGATATGCAGAGCAAAAGATGAGTAAGCAGTTGGTTTTTTCTTTCATTTATCAATTATCTTCAGAATGGTGCCTATAATTTTTAAATAAAGAATGTGAATTCTTGTTTTCTGATACATCTATGCATCTCAGTCTACCACATACAGGACAGTTTTCTTCAGTTTTTTTAAAATGGTGTTTTGAGCCAGGCATGGTAGTGCATGCCTGTAATCCCAGCGCTCAGGAGGCTAAGGCAGGAGGATTATTGCGAGTTTGCCTGGCTACAAAGTGAGCTCAAGGCCAGCCTGAATTGCATAGCGAGACCCTGTCTCAAAAATACTAAAAGAAAAAGAGAAAGAGAAGAGAAAGAAGAAAGAGGAGAGAGAGAGAGAGAGAGAGAGGGAGGGAGAGACGGGGGGAGTTGAGAGAGAGAGAGAGAAAGAAAGGGAGAAAGGGAGAAAG